CTCGTAAAACAGTCACTTGTCGCCATCTAATGGCGGAACAATGTCACAAAAATCACCATCACGAACACACACACACACACACACACACACACACACACGGTTTCCCAATACTAAATACTACTATGTATATAAAATATTATTTATTGAATAATAAACAACAACAACAGCCATCATAAAAGCCATGCTCTAATATACAGCATTAAAATTACATAAAATATAACGTGATGAGATCTTGCTCTCAGCCAAAACTATTTGCTCTGGAACAAATGATAGATTAATGACACCAAAGTCTGCCTGTCAGATTTACCCAAAACAAATTATATCTCCTGTTTAACCACTATAGAGACATCAGAGCCAGCAGCAAATTCCAGAAGATCTGGCTGAAGTGAGGCTGCTCTCGGCGGGTTCATGAGCGCTGATCGCCCTCTGACGCCCTGGAGCTCACGTCTCCGAAAATGTCAGGCGATACCAGTACAATATCTCACGGTTCTCATCCAATCAGATTTGAGAACCAGAACGAACTGTTGTATAAAATACAATATGTCCCCTTGAACAATTGTATTTTACTTTAAAACATACACATTTTTATTGTTTGTGGATTAAGACATTGGCCAATCTGAATATATTTAAAATGACACCATCAGCTCCAATCATCTTTTTTGACAAACTGTTTCTTCAGAAGCCGAATCCCCAAGGAATGGCCAAGTCCTGCATCTCTTGACACATCTCTAAAACGTTAAAGTGTGTTTGAAGTTATTTCTGTTGGTTTCCTTTACCGTTTCCCCCCTCAGACATTGTAGATATAAAACCAGCCAATATGGAGGAGCTGACGGAGGTGATAACGGCGGCCGAGTGTCACCCCCACCAGTGTAACGTCTTTGTGTACAGCAGTAGTAAAGGAACCATCCGCCTGTGTGACATGAGGGCCGCCGCGCTCTGCGATAGACATAGTAAATGTGAGTATTTTAAGTCAGTCCAGTCTCTTTTTTTTTTTCTTCTCCAGTTGTCTATTTTTTTCTGCTCTTTTTTTTTGCTTTTATATTCTTGCGTCCCTTTATTTTCCCATCAGACGGAGAGTCTGAACTCTACATGGGAGTGTTCCCTGACGCAGTGTCCTTTTCTCCTAAAACACGATCAGACTCTCTCTCACTAAAAAGCCGTGGAAAGTTCTCGTTTTGTCTGTTTTTGCCGTCCACTGTTTAATGTCAGCATGGCCTTGTGTTATGTAATCACTGGGTTATGTAATTAATCGAGCGCTCTGTTTTGAACTTGGACCTCACTCCAGACCAACAAAGCAAAACAGCAAACTCTCGCCATTTACTTCCTGTCAAATCCACTAGTTACAAAACAGATGTCAAGTAAGTGCATCAAATTGAAGTGTTTGGATGGAATAAATGGACTGTTAGTGTTTTTCTTTTTCATTATATACACAATTCAATCCATTATTTTTAAGTTATTTTAGCGAGTATTACATTCCCAACTATTCTTAACGAAAAGGAAATGCGTGCTCTTGTTGATAGGGTTCAGTTCTGGTCCATTGGTCACACTAGAAATGGGAAGATCAAGTCAAGTGCATTTTGGGATATATATACTGTTCAAAAGCTTTGGGTCCGATTTTTAAAAAAAAATTTTTTATGTTTTTGGTAGACACTTGTGCTCACCGAGACAGTACAAAAAGAGTATTATTGTGAAATATTATAATGTAAAATAACTGTTTTAATGTATTTTATATATTCTTATATTTAATTTTTTTCATATATCTATTTGAATATTCTAATATGAATATTTTAAAATGCTTTTTTCCCTGTGATGTTAAAGCTGAATATTCAGCATCATTACTCCAGTCTTCAGTGTCACATGATCCTTCAGAAATCATTCTAATATATTGATTTTGTGCAAGAAATATCTCTTTATCAATATTGAAAACAGCTGTGCTGCTTATTATTTTTGTGGAAATTATTTCTTTTTTTCCACAAAGGATCAATATGTCCCCTTGAACAATTGTATTTTACTTTAAAACATACACATTTTTATTGTTTGTGGATTAAGACATTGGCCAATCTGAATATATTTAAAATGACACCATCAGCTCCAATCATCTTTTTTGACAAACTGTTTCTTCAGAAGCCGAATCCCCAAGGAATGGCCAAGTCCTGCATCTCTTGACACATCTCTAAAACGTTAAAGTGTGTTTGAAGTTATTTCTGTTGGTTTCCTTTACCGTTTCCCCCCTCAGACATTGTAGATATAAAACCAGCCAATATGGAGGAGCTGACGGAGGTGATAACGGCGGCCGAGTGTCACCCCCACCAGTGTAACGTCTTTGTGTACAGCAGTAGTAAAGGAACCATCCGCCTGTGTGACATGAGGGCCGCCGCGCTCTGCGATAGACATAGTAAATGTGAGTATTTTAAGTCAGTCCAGTCTCTTTTTTTTTTTCTTCTCCAGTTGTCTATTTTTTTCTGCTCTTTTTTTTGCTTTTATATTCTTGCGTCCCTTTATTTTCCCATCAGACGGAGAGTCTGAACTCTACATGGGAGTGTTCCCTGACGCAGTGTCCTTTTCTCCTAAAACACGATCAGACTCTCTCTCACTAAAAAGCCGTGGAAAGTTCTCGTTTTGTCTGTTTTTGCCGTCCACTGTTTAATGTCAGCATGGCCTTGTGTTATGTAATCACTGGGTTATGTAATTAATCGAGCGCTCTGTTTTGAACTTGGACCTCACTCCAGACCAACAAAGCAAAACAGCAAACTCTCGCCATTTACTTCCTGTCATATCCACTAGTTACAAAACAGATGTCAAGTAAGTGCATCAAATTGAAGTGTTTGGATGGAATAAATGGACTGTTAGTGTTTTTCTTTTTCATTATATACACAATTCAATCCATTATTTTTAAGTTATTTTAGCGAGTATTACATTCCCAACTATTCTTAACGAAAAGGAAATGTGTGCTCTTGTTGATAGGGTTCAGTTCTGGTCCATTGGTCACACTAGAAATGGGAAGATCAAGTCAAGTGCATTTTGGGATATATATACTGTTCAAAAGCTTTGGGTCCGATTTTTAAAAAAAAATTTTTTATGTTTTTGGTAGACACTTGTGCTCACCGAGACAGTACAAAAAGAGTATTATTGTGAAATATTATAATGTAAAATAACTGTTTTAATGTATTTTATATATTCTTATATTTAATTTTTTTCATATATCTATTTGAATATTCTAATATGAATATTTTAAAATGCTTTTTTCCCTGTGATGTTAAAGCTGAATATTCAGCATCATTACTCCAGTCTTCAGTGTCACATGATCCTTCAGAAATCATTCTAATATACTGATTTTGTGCAAGAAATATCTCTTTATCAATATTGAAAACAGCTGTGCTGCTTATTATTTTTGTGGAAATTATTTTTTTTTTTCCACAAAGGATTCTTTGAATGGAACATTCAAAAGAACAACATTTTGTAATATTATAAATGTCTTTACTGTCACTTTTGAGCAATTTAATGCATCTTTGCAGAATCAAAGTATTAATTTTTCACAAAAAAAACAACTTTTGAATGACACCAAACCTTTGAACGGTAGTGTTCATGTGCAGGATTTTACGTGTTCTACTCAAACAGCCTTTAACGTTTCTGCTGCAAGTCTGAAATATAATCAGAAATATTGTGTTTTTGTTCCTCCAAAGTTTTTGAGGAGCCAGAAGATCCCAGCAGCCGGTCGTTCTTCTCAGAAATCATCTCCTCCATATCTGACGTCAAGTTCAGCCACAGCGGTCGATACATGATGACCCGCGATTACCTCTCCGTTAAGGTTTGGGACCTGAATATGGAGAACCGGCCCGTAGAGACCTACCAGGTACAGTAGAGATCTTATTGCAACAGCTGACATTCCAGAGCTTGTACCGTCATGTTTTCAGAACATGGTGTTTCATGTCTACAATAAATACATTTTTCAAATACTGCCGGTACCTCCCCAAAGTTTCACACCCTCATAAATGTGTTATCTTGCAAGTGATATGACCATTTCTTCGTTGGGTTTTGTTGCTGATTCACATGTGCTTCTCTGTTTCAGGTACACGAGTACCTACGTAGCAAGTTGTGCTCACTCTATGAGAATGACTGCATTTTCGACAAGTTTGAGTGCTGTTGGAACGGTTCAGACAGGTGCGGAACCGTGTTTAATTAGGGTGGCCAATTCCCACGGTCCCACATTTTAAAGCTGTTGAGTCTTCCTAATAATGTGACTACAGGAAGAAAACATTTTCAGTGATTTACCTGTGTTGAGAAGATAAACATTCTGGCAAAATAATATAGACTTAATAATATAATAATAAAAATAATAATGCTATATACACACTACCGTTCAAAAGTTTGGGATCAGAACGATTTTTAATGTTTTTTAAAGGAGTTTCTTATGCTCATCAAGGCAGCATTTATTTGATCAAAAATACAGGAAAAAAAATGTATATTGTGAAATATTATTACGATGTAAAATAACCTTTTTCTATTTTAATATACGTTAAAATCTAATTTATTCCTGTGATGCACAGCTGAATTTTCAGCATCATTCCTCCAGTCTTCAGTGTCACATGATCCTTCAGAAATCATTCTAATATGCTGATTTATTATCAGTGCTGGAAACTTAAAACTTTTATTCAGCAAGGATGTGTTAAATTAATAAGAAGTAATATTTATATTGTTAGAAAAGATTTATATTTTGAATAAATGCTGTTCTTTTTTAACTTTTTATGCAAAGAATACTGAAAAAATTATCACAGTTTCCCAAAAAATATTTGGCAGCACAACTGCAACATTGATAATTCTAATAATAAATCAGCATATTAGAATGATTTCTTAAAGATCATGTGACACTTTATACTGGAGTAATGGCTTTTTCATTTGGAATTATTTTATAAATACATATGAAATATTTTATATAGAGAGAATCGCAACACGATTTCTTGTGAAATTTTTGATGGATAAAAAAAATAGTGGAAGCAACTTGGTGAGTAATCAAGTTTTTCAAGTTTTAATCAAAATCTTTTATAAGCTTTAAAAGTGAGTCATTGTATTAATGTTTACTTTAATAATAATTTTTATCCTGTATGATAAAATTATTTTATTTCTGATTTGGTGTTGATGAAGTGGTACTTTAACATTAGTGATGTGATTGAAATAATCACTAAATCAGGTTTTTGAACTTAATCAAAATAGGTCAAACCAATTTAGATTTCTGCACTAAAAACAAATGCTTAAGATACAAACAAAAAGATCTCCAATCCGTTTCCTACCAATAATGCAGATACAAACGTAGCTTAAGTGCATCACGATCTGTCCAAATTGGCAACATTGGCTCAACCAATTGCTTGAACTTAATTGAAAACGGTGCAGAAATTCTCAAAAAAAAAAAAAATCAAAAGCCTGGTGAAACTTTATGAAACCTATGTAATGTGCAACAATTTGACAACTAATCTTTATTTTTTTTCTTCTCTCTCATCGGCCCCTGCACTTCCGTCCTCCTCAGTGCCATTATGACGGGTTCCTACAACAACTTCTTCAGGATGTTTGACAGGAACACGCGCAGGGACATCACACTGGAGGCGTCGAGGGAGAACAGTAAACCCCGTGCCATACTCAAACCCCGCAAGGTCTGCACAGGCGGCAAACGGAAGAAAGACGAAATCAGCGTAGACAGCCTGGACTTCAACAAGAAGATCCTACACACCGCCTGGCACCCGAAAGAGAACGTGATAGCTGTGGCCGCCACCAACAACCTGTATATATTCCAGGACAAAATGAATTAAAAAAAAGAGAGAGAGAGTGATTTAAAAACCAAGAAGAAACAAAAATCAAGAAAAAGAAACATCCCCTCCTCCCCATTTCCCCCTGTGCTCAAGGGACGCTCAAGAAATCTCGTACTTTGCAATGATAAGCCTAGTCGTTAAATCTGTAAGAGAAATATGGTGCTGTTGTTGACCCAACAAAGAAGTGAAGCACTTGTTTTTCACACCAGGAAGCTGAGACATACCGTATATATTGGGAGGGGGGAGAAACCCTCTTTGGGAGGGTGTCAATAATTCACGACGACCCCAAACCAAAAAAAATTTAAAATAAATTAGAAGGCCGATATCAACTAACCCTCCAGCAACGGAACCCATACCAATCAGCATTAAGAAGCTAGATCTACTTTGCAAAAGTCGTACATGTATTCGTCTTTCGGCTGAGCCTTGCGTTTTTATGATTTGATGACCAAAAGTACAGAAACGCACCAGGATGAGTAACGTCTCGCTGTCAATCGTATGTACCCGCTGTTCGAAATCCAGGCCTTCATGAGCGTTTATTTAATGCCTGTTAACATTCCTTCCCCTGGCCCGACTCTCAGGCCTTGATGTTCTACCTTTTAAGCACTTAAAACAGGTCTCCATTTTGGTCAGTGGACAGTTTGACAGTTTTCCATTTCTCTCGGTTTTGTTTTTATTTTATACTTCTTTTTTTTTCTTTTTTTTTTCTTGTTTTCTCATGCATAATAATATCTACTCACTGACTGTATCTATATATTACACCATCTGGTGTCAAACCACTTAATAAAAGTAACATAACTACAAAGAGAAAGCGTTTTTACATTATGAGCAGGTATGTATGATTTTTTACGTACTATCTTGCATGTAATCTGCATATGTAGATCTGGAGCGCCAGTGGTTAAAATGTGAAATCATCCTGCTGAACCCGTATCGGCTACATTATTGGGGAATTTGACCCAAAAAAACAAAAAAGGGGCGATTGAAATTACTTTCGATGAAAAGAAAGTGGCCTGATTTTTTTTATTTGAATACAGCATTTGCTTGTATGTCGGACGAGTCTCAAAAAAAGACGGCAAACCAAATGTAATTCCCTCATAATGTTCTGGTTGGGAAGCAAATCTCCATATTGAACTACTTGAATTTGCAGTTGCACTGTTTGATTGAGGACATTGGCCATGAAAAGCATCAGTATTGCCGTCTATTTCGCTTTAGAGTTTTCATTTTCATATTACGTTTTCTTTTTCGTTTTTACTTCGTAAAGGGATTCTACCGCCTTAAGTCTGTCTGTATGTCCTATAATAATCCTCACCCGGTAACCTTGAGGACTAGATGATCTCGACATCCCATCGCCATCACTCGGCTACCTTCTACATGCATTGTTTTTTATTTTAGCACTTCATTTGTCCATTCATGTGCTGCTACGGTTTGTGCGGCTTTGTATTTGGACACTAATATACGAGATGTTGTATGGTCGGTGACGGCCGTCACAGAACACTCAAATCGAAACCGATGTGTTCAGTGCCTCTTGAGACAAAACTGGCTTTCCTCCAGTCAATCGGACTGGAGGAAAGTTAACGGATCACATCCTGATGTCGAGATACTCCTTGTGCTCAATTCCTTGCGCACAAAAGAAACGTATGTCGCGTGGAAGTTGATCTAAATGGATTTATCTCGCATCAGGATGCGGTTTAAAGGAACCGGTGACAACATACAGTTTGTGTGCTGCTGAATTTTGACATGCGGCTGCAAAACTGATGTCAAAATGACAAACGTAACTTAACGGTTGACGAGTACAAAGTTGTTGTTCTAGCTGATTGTGACGCTCTTTAAATCTGGGAACTGACAGGTCGGATACGTACTCAGACCTTGTTCCTTGTTAAATGATGATGATGCTAACATTGTGAAAGTGTACACTTGTTTGATTATTTTTGACCAAAGTTAAATAAAATTTTAATTGTGTTTATCTGAATCAGCACACTGCCCAACACTTATTCAAATGATTTCAGGTGGCCTTAGCAAACTTTTTGAAATATTGCATTTTGCATATTGTTTGTGCAGTACAGTTTATATATCGAGTTCTATAAAAGTATGTGACTATGTAATGATAAACGTGTAAAACTGTGTGGCTCAGTGGCACATAAAGTCACAATTGTGTGCAAGTATATTTAACTAATGTTCAAAAGTTTGGGGTCGATAAGATTTGTTTTTGAAAGAAGTCTCTTATGATCACCAAAGATGAATTTATTGGATCAAATATACAGTAAAAACGGTAATATTGTGAAATATTACAAATATTATTTATATTTGAATAAATTTTAAAATGTAAATTATTACTGTGATGCAAAACTGAATTTTCAGTGTCACATGATCTTCAGAAATCATTCTAATATGCTGATTTTCTGCTCAAGGAACATTTCTGATTATTATCAATGTTGAAAACAGTTGTGCTGCCCAAT